AGTATGGTTGCTCTGGTGTCAACGCGAGCCAGGCAACGGAATCAACGACTTTTGCGTTCTCGCGCATATCAGCCCTTATCAATCGTTATCAGTTTCTGGTACCCACCAACAATGTCCCCGTCCCACCCCACATAACACTTGTAAGTATGGTTGCTCTGGTGTCAACGCGAGCCAGGCAACGGAATCGACGACTTTTGCGTTCTGGCGCATCTTATCAGCCCTTATCAATCGTTATCAGTTTCTACCCACCAACAATGTCCCCGTCCCACCCCACATAACACTTGTAAGTATGGTTGCTCTGGTGTCAACGCGAGCCAGGTAACGGAATCGACGACTTTTGCGTTCTAGCGCATCTTATCAGCCCTTATCAGTTGCTATCGCTTCCAATCATGTACCACCAATGTCCCGGGACCACCCCACATAACACTTGTAAGTATAGACGCTCTAGTACCAATATGAACGACAAAACGAAATTGGCGATGCTCGCTTTCTAGCCCCTCTTATCAGCTATTATCAGTCGTTATCAGTTCCTATCACGTACCACTTGTGTCCCCATCCCACCCCCTATAACATATGTAAGAACCACTGCGCTATCGTTACTGTGACTCGAGCTATGAATTTCCGGTCAAACATACACACACACCACAGACACACGCTAGCCGCTTATATATAGTAGGATAGTAGGATTGTTAAGCCAATGTGAATAGAGCTTCGGTTTTAGTGTTTTATATATTTTTGATCGAACAATGTTATATATATCTCTCAATATAGAGTCGCTTAGCTTATATCTGTTTTTTATAATGCTTATATAATTCTTAGTTGTTTCGTCGATCCAGGTTATTACTGTTCGTTTTGTTATTTTCGTGGGTAATCTGTACTTACATCCTTTGTCCAATAGGTTTTTAATGTATTTGTTGTTGATAATTTCAGTATTTCCTGTTATTATATGTTTGTGAAAGTTATCTATATATTTTTGATATTCGTTTGTTTCACAAATACATTTTGAGTTGAGTATTCTAACTACTTCGTTATTTGTCATATTTTTCAGTATTTTATTGTAATTGAAAAGTACTTGTGAAATTGGTTTGTCATATCTATATGTAATTCTAAATGGTATATATGTAACTGTTGAGTTACTTTTAATCAGTTGTGTAACATCTCTGGAATTGATTATTTTATTAATATTGATGTAATCTAAAACATTATTGATATAATAGGTTGGTAAATTGCAAACATTGATTTTGTTTTTGGTGTTGTTTATTTTATATGACGTAAAGTGAAATTTGCATAATAGACATAGAAGCATAAATCTCTTTTCGTCTTGTATTTGTGTAAAAAACGAATTGGAATAACACAAATTTATTATTTGGTTAATGACACTTTTCGATAGGCTATAAAGTTCCTTTTTGATAATTTTGAAATCAGATGTGTTATGCACTAATTCCTTGAATCTATTGATTGTTGAATTAGTGTCACTTTTCTTATTTGACCTGGTCCTCTTTCCTTTCCTTTCTCGTTTTTTGAGGATTTTAAGTGAGAAGTATGGGTGTTCAGGTTTATATGTGAGAGGATTGATAATATTAGATATATTGCCATATGTTTTGATACAGTCATTATTTCCAAATGGGAAAGCTGTTACAAGTAGTTTGATCCAAAAGCCTTCTTTATTTTGTGAAATATTTTTGTCTACGTTTTCTTGCAAGTTGTCTAGTATCGTGAAAGAAACAAGTTTGTTAGTGCATTTACCATTTCTTTAAGTTTTTTGGTGGTCAGACCTACATACTGATATCCACACTCTAAACAGTTAAGGCAATAAATTACATTCTTACTACAGCAGTTGGCATCATTATCTGTGTATGTATTAATTTTCAAATTCGTAGTATTTGAAATAATATAATTTTTTTATCTATCATGTTACATTTACATGTTCTATAGCGGGGGAACACAGTCTTTCTTGTTGTTCGTCAGGAAACAGTCACGGCACTGCTTGCACCACAAAGTGATGTCTTGACGCATTCCTTCCCAGAATACTTCTTTTCTGAGCCTCTGGAAGATTTTGCGGGCGTTAAAGTGCCCTGCCAGCACACCTGCCAATGTTTGCAATTTACCAACCTATTATATCAATAACGTTTTGGATTACATCAATATTAATAAAATAATCAATTCCAGAGATGTTACGCAACTGATTAGAAGTAACTCAACAGTTACATATATAACCATGTCAGATTACATCATTATCTATTTTGAAACAAACGAAATATCAAAAAATAATAAAATTTGTTTTTAGTGTTGTTTATTTTATATGACGTAAAGTGAAATTTGCATAATAGACATAGAAGCACGAATCTCTTTTCGTCTTGTATTTGTGTAAAAAACGAATTGGAATAACACAAATTTATTATTTGGTTAATGACACTTTTCGATAGGCTATAAAGTTCCTTTTTGATAATTTTGAAATCAGATGTGTTATGCACTAATTCCTTGAATCTATTGATTGTTGAATTAGTGTCACTTTTCTTATTTGACCTGGTCCTCTTTCCTTTCCTTTCTCGTTTTTTGAGGATTTTAAGTGAGAAGTATGGGTGTTCAGGTTTATATGTGAGAGGATTGATAATATTAGATATATTGCCATATGTTTTGATACAGTCATTATTTCCAAATGGGAAAGCTGTTACAAGTAGTTTGATCCAAAAGCCTTCTTTGTTTTGTGAAAATATTTTTGTCTACGTTTTCTTGCAAGTTGTCTAGTATCGTGAAAGAAACAAGTTTGTTAGTGCATTTACCATTTCTTTAAGTTTTTTGGTGGTCAGACCTACATACTGATATCCACATCTAAACAGTTAAGGCAATAAATTACATTCTTACTACAGCAGTTGGCATCATTATCTGTGTATGTATTAATTTTCAAATTCGTAGTATTTGAAATAATATAATTTTTTTATCTATCATGTTACATTTACATGTTCTATAGCGGGGGAACACAGTCTTTCTTGTTGTTCGTCAGGAAACATTCACGGCACTGCTTGCACCACAAAGTGATGTCTTGACGCATTCCTTCCCAGAATACTTCTTTTCTGAGCCTCTGGAAGATTTTGCGGGCGTTAAAGTGCCCTGCCAGCACACCTGCGTGTGCTTCTTCGAAGACAGCACGTCTTCGTGATTTTGGCACAACTTTTGCCATTGAACCATCTCATTTACAACATCCTGCTTGACAATTATTAAATATTATTCAATTATTATATTATATATGTTGTTTACCTTCTGTTTGTAAAAGACTTGATTTAAGTAGTAACTATTACCGGTGACGTTATGGGTGCTAGGCCGTATAGAAAGTATGTGAGGGGCCCAACCCACATACTTAGGGGAAGTTTTAAGGGGATTTGCCCTAGGCACTTGCTAGCCTTTAAATATATTTAGTGTTGGTGAAAGTATGCGTGATGAAACATTTGTTGACCCTTTTGAGGGCGTGGTACTTACCCCTTGCTAGTAACCACTTTTATAACCCTATCAAAAGAGCCCCTATTTTTAAAGAGGTATGGCCCCCGTGTTTAAGGAATTGGTAAATGTATTTGTAAATGTGATAAAAAACAAAGGGGAAAAATCAAAGATGTGTGTAAATGATAACGTGAAATTGATAGCGAATGAAGTAAGAGTTAAGGATTTTTTTGAATTTTTATTTTTAAGGAGTATTGCCTGAAGATTAATAAATTATTGAACTTAGTTATGGGTAAACTTAAAGAGTCGTATAAATAAAATCATTATATAACACTGCTCTTATCAATTACGTTTGCTTTTGCCTTATCAGCTCCTGTCTTCTCTAGTTGATCTTCACGATCAAGTGTTTGATCTTTTCCCGCCAAAAACCTTGGTGTGTGGCCGGAAAAGGATCGGACACTTCAGTTGCCTTTTCTAGAGCTCGCAGTGGTTGGTTGCCCCAATCCTGCTCTCCGTCAGGAGCTGTCCTCTCTAACCCCGTCTACTCTACCTGTATTCTCTATTCACCTACTCCTCACGCAGCACTCTCCGGTCGAGTTGTTAAGGCGGTCTCTGACGCTTTCCTCATCCCGAGACGCATCGACGATAGTGGGGTTACCCACCTCGCCCGATCAGGTTATCAAGGCAGTCATGGACGCCTTCCTTGATCCTTTTTCTTCCCAAACAGTAGAGCCTCAAGTGCCCTCTGTGGGAGTGATAAGTAAGCCAGGGACGTTTTTAACGTCTCAGGGCGCCCGGGAGGCTGTCCTAGCTCGGATAACGGTTCCCACTAACAGGTGAAGTTGGGGGCGACTCCGCGGGGGCCCTGCAAAATAATCAATAGACAGCTCGACAGGGTCACCACCCTGCCCTGCCCTCCTAATGGGGAGGCCGCCTGGGAGCTAGTAATCGATCCGGGACCCCCTCGTGTCTCTCGTGTCTATTGATTTGCTTCACATGCTTCGAGAATAATTATGGATGAGTTTACTGCACAGTTATTTTTCAGATGTCGGATTTAGAATACGACCGTTTGAAAGAACATGAGAAGATCCTGTTGGACGACGACCATGCTTCCGATGGCCAGCTTCACGACGATGCGTTAGAGGAGCAACGGTCGCCTGCGAAGCGAAAGCGAGTCAGAGGTCGGACGTCTCGAAACCGTCGCAAACGGAAGCACCGCTCTCACGGATCCAACTCATCATCGTACTCCTACGACTCGTCAGTGGAGACGTCGGAGTGCTCAGATTCAGACGGCAACCCTTTTCTCGATAGCAGACTGAAAGAGCGCGACAATGATAGTCGTAAGAAGTATGAGCCTCCGTCGCCACTTCAAGATAGTCAGGAGAGGATTCCCAAAAAAATCGAATTCGTCTCAAGTCTCCGGGAAGCCCCCGAGATAGTGGGCTTGGAAAAGAAGAAACTGCGATCACGAGTGAAGATAGCAGACAATTTCCTGGAGCACTTCGATACATGTGCAGCCGGGATGTACGTAGGGAAGGAGGAGAGGATTTCGTATTACGAGCGCCTGCCCCTCGTGGCTTCTCCCCTAGCCACCGTGCCAGTTCTAGATGAGGGTCTACGCGCACTCAACTACAGACTACCCCTGGAAGAACAGTCAATGGTACCGGTTCGGAGAGCGTCATGAAGGCTCTAAATTTACTCGCGATCAGCCGCAACGAAGCAGCGGAGCAACGCGCCGATAGAGCAGATTCGTACGTGAAACAGGCAATGGAGATCCTCGGCATCTCTCTCCATGACTTCAACGTTCGGCGCAGAGAACGATTCTTCAGGTAGCCTTTTTCTCCTGCAAATTCGCTCTAGATTAGTTCTTCATCCGTTCATTGCAGGAGCTATGGCGTAGACCCGGCGAGATCCGTGCCGAATTATTCGTCGCCTTCCCATAGAAGTTCACTTTTGGCCTGCCGCAAAGGAGGCCAGAATGAATCACAAGAGGCGAGACCGAACGAAGTTATACGACACAGCCGTTCGGTGAAAAAGGAAAAGAGCCAAGAATCAAGGTTGGTTATTTCTGAACCTCTATCTCAAGTAGGCCCGATAAGTAGCATGACAGCGGGAAGGTTCTGCGCTTTTGCTCAAGAATGGAATTCTCTAAAGATTGATTCCTGGGCCCGAGATACTTTGCGCGGCTATAAGCTAAGGTTCAAAGATTCCCCACCCAAACTATGGCGACATACATATGGCGAAAGAACAAATTCAGCCGCTGTGGGCGAAGAAGTGCTCAAAAATGCTAACAAAAGGCGCAATATAGAAGTCGTAATGGCACGAAAGGGTCTGGATATCAAGCATTTTTTGCATTCCAAGAAAGACGGTTCCTACCGCCCTATCATAAACCTTAAGCCACTCAACGAGTATAATCGCCAGAATCTTAAAGGAGGATTTCACGATTAGAATGGAGGTCGAGGAAGAAGTAATTCACCTAGTTGAGTAACCCACGGACCTCCTGAGGGTGCGAACTGATGCGCAATTCGCATCGAAAAATTTGACCTCGGCGACCTATTATGCCTCAAAGTTGGCGGGTCTGGCGATCTCCGCCCACCGACCAGCTGATCACTCGCCGCAGATCTATACGTGGGATTGATTAGATAGCAGAGAGCGTGATGTTGAGGAGGGCACAGCGATAAGAGTCGCATCAATGCGCAAATCAGCGGGGAAGGAAGGGGTCCCATTTCTCGGGTTCTGGGCCGTTTCTCATGGTTCTTCCTTCTTTCGTGTACCAATCACCATCCCTGAGTTAATTTGAAATGGGTTGCCTTCCCAGCGTGAATTCGTCCTTTAAGCTCGAATCCTTAGAAATGATCAGAGACTTAGTCAATCCCGGGTCGTACATGGCCAAGGTGGATATGAAGGACGCGTATTTTTCGATCCTCATTCACGAAGACCACCGCACCACCGCAATTACTTGTGTTTTCAATATGAAGATAAACTATTTCGGTTCAGGGCCCTTCCATTTGGTTTATCTTCTGCGCCTTACTAAAGTTTTGCAGAACCCTTTCTCCGAAACGCGCTAAAAAAAGTGATCAGGAGAATTAGTTAGAATTTGCATTGAGAGACGAATAAGAGATAATTAATGGAATAGTGCCAATGACCTCACCTTGCCGTAACGCCGTTTCGCCCCTAACAGCGCCAGAAGGAAAGAAGACTTTTGCGATAAGCCTGGAGGTGCCCAGAAACGGCCCTAGGCTGCAATAAATAAGGTGCAACTCCAGCGTGAACTATCCTTAATTGCAAATTATCTTGTTCTCGCTTTTAATATGTTTCCTAATCTTTACCAATTTAACGGCTCTCATCAGGGCCTTTATGCCTTTCAGAATGCACCGGCTCAGGCAGCCGTTAATGATTTTTCAGCTTTCCTGCTTCACAACCATCACGATCGACGACGTACAAAGGACAAAAAGAGGTAAGTAGTCAGCACAAGAGGGATGTACTAACCTTCCCTATTTCAGCTTCCGCCTCGGTGTACGTGTTCGCGCTGGCTCGGAAAACTCAGCATTGGGATGTCTAGTGTGTTAGGCTGCCAAGAAGACTGGACGCTTGGAGTACGATCAAGGTACTACGCAGAATTCTACACGTAATCCTTGTGGAACTAATACTCAACGTTTCTTCTGTCACAGTAAGTGGAGACGAGTCCCTTACGGATCCATGCGCCATCGATCACGTGTGCTCCCCGACTGAAGCTCCCAACAGATAATAAGCGAACAGAGTGGATAGAAGTTCAAGCTTACACTGTATGGGTTGTTAATCGTAAACCATTGCCCTATTTTCGGAAAGTGGCAAGAAGGTAAAAGCGACGAGCTCGTAGCGGGGCGCGGCTACGAGGGAGGTTTACTAAAGTAGCAGGAATACGAGGGGTCGTAGCTGGATTCGAGACTCAATGTATCAGACTCATTTTCTCGTTACAAGGACTTATTGAAAGCATATATGGATGGGGATACGGAATGAAGAGGAGAACGATTTCGAGGTGAGATGTTGTGAAATTGTGACTCATTACATTCACACTCGCACGCGGTTCTTCAGGGCTATAAAAGATTGAAGGACAGGGAAGTCACACTCCAGAACATCCCGGAAGATCTCGCTAGGCTCACCAACGGAAGGATTTTCGTCCACGAGCAGACCCCTGAGCTTCATGTTTACTACTCCAAGGACACAGTCGAAGCACAGCAGTACGGCTACTAGAAATGAAAAATTACCAAGTTCTACAGATGGTTCCTGCCACAGCGGTTTACGCAAATCTATAGCGGACGGAAGTACACGAAGCAGCCAAGAACTGTGGCAGATGGATACGCGTTCCACCCGGGGCGTGTGTGATGGGGGGGAGTAGAAATCCTTTATATATTCGATGACTGCACGCCAAAACGAAGACGGTGTAATGCGTTATTTTCGCACTTGAAGTCGTTTCGTGGAACAAGGGCCGCTTGCAACCACTGATAGACTGGATTCGAGAAGGACGGTCGATCGTGTTGTGAGGGTTTTGTTCCCGAAGGCAGTTGTGGTTTAAGGATGCTCATTTTCATTGACGAGTTTGTGGTAATAGGGTGAAAACCTCATTATTGCTTATTTGGCGCCAATGAATAGATAGCCTCTATTTATACTTTATTTCAGGCGCAGCGTAACTGCAATTACGAAATTTATAAAGGAACAAGAGAGTGTCCTTAGAGTCATGAATGGCGGGATATAATAAAAGGCCTTGTTTTCCTCCCGAAGCGCCTTTACCCAGAGGTTGTGTTCTGCGAACAAAACTATGTGAACACGGTCAAATATTTGCAAGTTGCAGGTGCGAGATATGGAGCGTACTGCTAGGCTCGCGACGATCACATCGCCTCCAAAAAATGCAAGGAATTCTTGGGTTATTTACATACAACGCGGTTTGACGGCCCATACAAGGATATGTGGAACAAGTGGGAGGTAGTAGATCTTCCACTACTAACACAGCGGAAGTCTTCCAGTAAGATTTGAAATTTCAACAGTTACACAGTGATAACGAACATTAACATTTCTGAATTTTGAACCTTTCTTCACTCGTATTAATTGATTTTTCCTTTCAGCCGATTGAATGTAGAGTTCGGTAGAGACCATCCCGAAATGCGAGTTCTTCTGGAAAAACTGAAATATATCGACTTCGAGGCAAGGTGCACGTTGCGCTGGATTACAGAAGTAAGCGGTATTCGCAAGCAGATTTGTCGATGTATTGTAATACTGTTTTTGGGAGATCCGAAGGGACGATAAGCATTGGAGTAAGCCGAGAGCAGGGGAACGGAGAGAAAAAATTGCAGAGCAATAGGAGAAGAGGTATAACTAGACCTCGAATCATGCTGAATCATTCTAGATTAGTAACCTATTCAGATTCGGAGAAGTTTATCGTCAGCGAGGAGTCACGACGGCAGAAATTGAAGACTATTGTAGATATATGTCGCGATATGTGTCAGAAAAACTATTTAATATTGTGAACGATGTTTTTTTACAATAAAGGTTGCCTGAATAACTGAGTATTGAGTGTTCAAAAAACGAAGGTTAATCAAATACCGCAAGCCACTGAAAGTAGAATGGGTCAGAATTCCGTATGAATGTCCTGATACATCTACTTCTTAGTAGCTAAACGGAGTTCTCATAATGCAGGAAAAATGCACTACGAGACAAAAAGAAAAAATGAAACAATGAAGAAGAGCTATCGGTTAGTAAAAAAGCTTGTACAGCAGAGTCAACCCTGCGTTGCGCAGTTTTCAACGGCCACGTTGCGCAGTTTTGCCCGATTAGACACGTTCTCTCGCGCGAACATTCACACTCGCATGCTCGAGCCGTCTGTGTCTCCGCCCATACAGCGTGCGTTGAGGATCTCTCAACGTGCCGTTGCGAACTGCGCAACGCAGGGTTGACTCTGCTTCAACGGGAAGAAATGTGCCGGAATTCGGGTCGCGAGCTGGTCTCCATGACGCGCTCAATGTAAGGGCGATCATAGAGAGGTGTCGCGGCGTGTTCGCGGGGAGGTCGCGGCGCTGGACGAGCCGGACGAGTTATCCGGCCGAAAATATAGGCGGCGCCTAGCTGGCAATTACAGCCAATGCGCCTCAATGGCAATGTGGCCGCGCCACTTGACCGCCTCCCCTTCAAATGACCAGAAATTGTGCAATTGCAGAAATTGACGTGGCATTAACGTGGCATCGATTCAAGAACATCTTTGAGCACACGTGATGTCACCTTTTCATCGAGAATTTAGCCACGTGTGCCAATGCCACGTCAATTTCTGCAATTGCACAATTTCTGGTCATTTGAAGGCGAGGGTATATGCGTCGGGTGGTTCTGACGGAAGCTCTTGAACTCGGTATCCTTTAAGGCGGCTTTCGAATTGTATGCCTTCGCCTCGCTTCTTCGAAGACATGAACAGCGGCTAATGGTTACTGTGATCTGATGCATTTAAATTTTGCCACAATATGATTGACACACCCATTCCAGAGCCCCTCTTTCCTCCAAAGCTTAGTCCTAGGGCTCACAACTTCTCACTTGAGATTTGGAGCGGAGCCAGGCGCCGTTCTTAATCGTCTGTGCTCTGGCGTTTCGCGGCAGGCACAGCGGCGATGTTCAAGTGGGGTATATGCGTCGGCCAGATTAAGCGACGTGGATGCGTGAAAGAATGCGACTGCGATCCTGTTGGATTGCAGGGAGTCTATTATTTCACGGATGCGAATCACTTGGTTGTCCACAAAAATGGGCAAATTTTTGGATAACTGTATCCAAGCAAGGGCTATTTTCGCTGTCGCGACAGGTGTTATAATTTTCGCACATGCCACATACTACTGTTTTAGAAAGGCGCGTAGCTAGCAGGATTGTGAGAGTTCTAAGCGTGGTACAGTCCGCTTGGTTTGATTTGGGTAAGTCTTGCTTTGCCACTCACGAGCGGATAACTTCCTTTGTGTTTTCATTTTTCGCCTATTATTTCAACAATGATGTCTAAACTTAGCCGTATATAGTGATTTACGGTGATTCTGACATAATTGTCATAGCGCTCAAAATGCATGTTATTTATTTATTTATTTATTTATTTATGCACTCACTGGTGGTGCGCTAAAACAGGGCAGAGGGTGTTAGTTCGGTACAGGTATGTTTAGACGAGAAAAAAAAGCAAACAAACAAAACAATCGCTGAAAATGTATTTGTGAGTGACACGATTCCAAGCAATGCCGGTTAGTGGTATTCTATGAAATTCTTACAAGAGGTTTTCAAATTATAGTTGATGAACGAAGGGAGATTAACACGTCGGCTAGGTATATCTTGTAATATCAAACTCTGAGTCTGTCTGAGTGCTATCGAAGTCCTATCAAACAATACTCCAGGGTATACATCCGTTCCTCTGCACAAAATAACTATCTTTCTTCACTGCTACTTAGTGATCCTCTTCTAGTGGCATTTCCTCGTTCACTAACAAGTTCATGGTTACTAAGCTTCAAATTCCTTGTCGCAACTTAGAACCAGAGCAAATAACGCGCTCCATTCACGCGCCCCTCGTAGGCCGGACGCATAGTCGGTCGGACGACAGCAACGATCGCAAGTGTCGCACAGCATTGGGTGCGTATCGATCTGCGACACATGCGACACTTACGACCGCTGCTGTCGGACGACAGCAACGATCGTAAGTGTCGCAGATCAATACGCAGCTACTATTCCACACTACAGTGGGACTTTCGAAATACGATCACGCGCAGTCACGTGTTGTCTGGGTTAGCATTGGGTGACCGCGTCGCCTTCCATTTGCAACCGCGGTTTATGCGATCACGCGCAGTCACGTGTTGTCTGGGTTAGCATTGGGTGACCGCGTCGCCTTCCATTTGCAACCGCGGTTTATGCGACACTTGCGGTCGTTGCTGTCGTCCGACACGACGGACGATCGTCGGACGATCGACTATGCGTAGCTGTTTTCGCTGTGGGAGCGCTGGCCTGCCGCGCGATGTCGCATTGCGAAGCGCGAAAAAGTCGCTTTCTGTACCTAAGTACCCACACTCGGGGACTGAATCATCAAGAGTATTATTCACCACTTTTCCGATTGCTTGGTTGCGTGAAACTACAAAACGTAGGTTTCGTCGTAGAGCATCGGAGATGAAATGTCGCTTTCTGTCCTAAATACCCACACTCGGGGACTGAACCATCAAGAGTATTATTCACCACTTTTTTGGTACTACTAAAACCGTTCAGCGAAAACGAAACATGGTTTTGTGGTCCATACATGCGTCCCTACAATATGTACTAAACCGTTTCCAAAAAGCGCACCTTGCCCTGAAAGACCTCCCTTGTCGAGAAGTGAACAACTGACAAAAATACCTTTACTTGTCAGCAACCTTACAAAACACGTTGTAATTGTTCGAGCACAGTTCCCGAATAATTTTCAGCATTTTCCAGCCTAGTGCGACAGTTTATTAGAGCAACAATGCGACCATTATTATTTCAAACCCTTAGAATCGGGTCAGTAAACTTTTCGAAATGTTTTGCTCGTTTATACAAATTTTTCCAAAAACTGTACGTTCCTCCTCACCAAGCTTTGCAACAGTTTTACTATTGAATTTTCTAATGACATTAGAAAATCAGCTGAAGTTCTTCATGCTGCCCGGCACTGCCCTCACTTTAAAGGGCTCACTTTGCTCCAGTGCGCATGCCGCTACCGTAGGTTTCATGACACGTTGATTTTGCGATAACAATTGTACTGCGTTCACTTGAAACTGGTCTGCGGTAGTGCGGTAGAGTGGTTTTTTCTTAGCTCAAGCGATGACAGGTTTCGCCAAGGTTTTTTAGTTCTTTTTTAGGGAAGTATTTGGTTTTTCTTACACTGTTATCGATTCCAATAAGCTGTTCACGTTTTTCGGTTGATTTTATAAGTTGCCAAGTTTTATGCCGATGTTTGGCGGTTTGTAGGTAACATGAGACCGGTCATCTTTCTAGTCTTAGCATTTACTTCGGTTTATGCTGTGTCTCTGAACACTTTTTGGGACGAAAGCGACACGAAACGACTGTCGAAAGTTCTAGAGGTAACCTTTTATGAGGAAATGAACCTTATTTGTTACTGTTCCAATTGTGTATTTTTCAGAACGTGCTGGAAACAAGGCAAGACAACATTGCTGCCCTTCACTTCGCCGCTAGTGGGCTGAAACTTCTCAATGTCGCTCCATCGGCAGCTACTGCCAAGGTCTGGGCAACAGTTTCCACCTTTGTCACTCACTCTTACGCCATATTTGTTCCTGTTGTCTTGCTTTACTCATCTCTTTTATTCTATTACTTTTTCTTTCTTTCTTTTATTGTGTTAATGGGGTGGCTCATTTTGGTTGGCTTGGCCTCGTAACGTTGTTTCCTCAGTAACATTGTTCCAGGCAGTTTGTGAAATCGCAAGGAAAGCAGACCTGACAAATCTTGAAGTACTTTACCATGCTTCTGCCCTTTCCGGTGACCTCACAGATTGTGCCTTAACTAGTATTGCTGGCGCACAGGTATGCAGATTAGACATTTTGATTTCGGCAAGCTTGAAGGTGTTGTTTTCTCAAGAAAACAATCGAGGATGTGCTGACGGCGCCTAACCCTAGTGGAGAGCGGATCACTCAAGCACTACGTAGCGCTGATCGCTTAGGCATCAAGGTAGACGCGTTGGATTTCGCAAAACCTCTCATAATAATGCACATTTTTCTCTTTCAGGTAGATAAAGCTGCTTTCGACAAACTTCTCACGACCGCAATGAAAGATGATTCCCCTAGCAAGTATGTTGTTACTGATGGCTTTTAACTGCTGTTAATTGCGGTGACATCCTTCTGTCCACAAATATGGTGTGCATTTGTGTAATGTTCTAGCCTCGCTTGGGTCTTTAATGCGGCAGCCTTGTTGGACAAAGCACAAGGAGCTAAGTATTTTGACAAGATCAAGAATCTTGTATCCCAAGCCGATGAGGTTGGGAAGCGCTTCTTGCAAGTAAGTGCTTTAATTGTTGTGCTTCTTCTTGTTCCATGTTTTTTTTTGACTTCAGTTTGATGGTGGTCTGACGACTACTTCCAACGCTATTCATGGAATTATGTCATTAGCCGAACAACAAGGAAAGGTTCCAGCTGTTACTAAAGTACGTAGTTCGACCTAATACAGTTGAAGCTTTCTATTCATGCTGTAGTGCCTTGTAGACAATTCATATAACTCAGATGTGACGGCATCATGAATTTCATTTTCTTTTTTCACTTTACGTATTGGTTCATTTCTTTCTGCTTCCTTTCCTTAGCGGTGCGTGGCGAGGGTACATATCAAACTTAGTGCCTTCTATCCTCGGGCGCGTGCAAAACGAATGATAACTCTTTATCATCACTCTCCACCCTATATTGTTGGATTTCATCACTTCGTACTAGATTTATCAGTATTCTTCATAGGATCAACTGTTGCTTTTCACCAATTACCTCCTATCTCGAAAACATGTGGCCACTGAGAAGTCTGCATTCCATTTGCTCAAAGCTCTTGGAGTCCTTGTGAATAATCATCAACTTGTGCCGGTCGTTGCATCTCTGAGAGGATCCGTCATGTTCAGTCGCGTGAAGGTAAGTCTTCTTAAATCCCTCAAGATTCAACACATAGCCATATTTCTGTAGCCTATCGTCATCGCTGTTTGCAATGTGTTCGGATTACCAGTTGCTGTATCGGACGTCCGTGTTGATATCATACCACAGGGACAAACAACACCTGTCATGGGAAACTTACGGCTTACACAATCTCAAGCGTACGTTTAGTCCTTGCTGATTTTTTGCAGCATTCTGAAACAGATTGTTCAGAGCACCAAGGCTGTATTCGTTCATGCCTGATAAGATGCCGGATGCACCTGGTTTTTACAATCTTGCAGTGAAGGTTGAATCTTCGGTTTGTTTTTACTTTTCATATCTGTGTTAAGTGGTCATGTCTATTCGTTTCTGTCTAGGATAAGCGTCTCGTTGGTTTGACCAGTTCAAGTGTTCTTGTGAAACAGTCGGATGATGTGAAAGTAGATGACCTGAAAGTGGGGGCACTCGAAAGAGACGATATCGTCAGTGGCGCAAATCTTGCCAGGTGGGTGGGTCTTCCCGTTCAGTGAATGGTTCATCGCGATTTACATCATAGTTTTACTCATTAATCTTTTTTTCCTTTCATTTCTTCAGCAGCTATTTCCAATTCCGTGGCACTTTTACCTCGTCTCTTGCTCAATAATGTTCAGAATACTGAAATGCATAGCATGATTTAATATATATTTGCGAGAATGGTGCAGTAAATTATTTTGTGCTAACTGGAGGAATCCCATCTCCTTTATATTTTTTTTCTTCCGAGTTTAACCCTTTCGGCCCTGGCGGTGGCAATTGCCACCATCAAATTCAAATGTTTGCATTGCCGCTGAAACAGCATGGTTTTTCTAATCCTGCTAGAGGTTGCTTCAGTCAACCTTCCCCTTCCTAATTATGAGCTAACCTGCCATTTCATTGTGTTGCTGTTAGTATTACAAGTATTTGTGTACAAGTGCAACAATGAATCGGCGCTGGTCCCCGCAACCGGCCAAGTAAGTGTCACTTTTTCTTAAAATACTTGAAGTAGATCCATTCTTAATCAAAATTATGGGTTATAATGTTGTGCAAGATTATAAACTTTTTCGGCATAACTATGAAATTTGGAATTGTTTCGACATAAGCTTAAAAACTAAGAAGGTGGGCCAATTTTCAAAGCTTCTTAGTTTCTTTGTTTGTGATCGAATAGCTTCCAAATTTCGCCATAATGATACCTATATGCTCACAAGTAATAAACAATAGCTAGAAGAAAAATTTCTCCACGGGGAAAAATTCAGGTCCGAAAGGGTTAAGATAATTTTCGAAGGACCGCCTGCTGCATGCGTCATATTTCTGAAAGTTGTGCATTAGCACGCTTTTTGTTGTTTTTTTTTGTTATATTCTAAACGAGTATGAGAACATTTTGGCAGTCTTACTATTTGTTTTATATGCGCGATGGGGCATAGAGAGGTTGTTGTCGAGAACCAATTAATGGTAAATACCAAGTGATGTTGATGTTTGCAAAAGTAGTTGATGAGAGCAGCGGTTCTTCTCATCTTTGAACCACGTCAGAGAAACTTGTCATGTCGCATGTTTCATTGTAGCAAATGTTATGTGATCTGCACATCTCACTCATCCTTAATTCTTTTTCACTGTGTAATTTACTGTTTCTATGATTAGAGCTGCATGTCATCATATTCCAGTGTTGCACAGTTCTCAAAGCATGCGAAGGTCATTTCGGCAGACCACACCAAGCGATTGTACATCTCGTTCTCTGTCAAGCGCAAGCTGTCAGGAACATTGATCCAGCCTCATCAGGTTTGCCACTCCTTGTGTCCATCTGTACCTATTGTTTATGAAAACGTATCAATCTTTTCAAGGTATTCGTGCTGTTCAAACATGCGAATGGTGCCGAGGTCTTTTACACAGCTGACGTGCAGACTGGTGGAACATACCTTGTTGATATAGTCGGTTTTCCTTTCTGCCTTTGTGTAATTAGTATAATCTGGCGTAGAGTAGAAATGGCTGTGAATGACAGGGGTAGGGCAGAACCCAAGGGTTTTTTCAATTTAGGGGGCAAAAAAAATTACCACAAACTTATTATAGTATTTGCAAATCTCTTAAAAACTCAAATTCAGTTCATTACCTCTCAATCTAACGTGTGTGTAATCAAATTTGTGAAGGTGCAAAATGGCTGTAGTTTTTGAAAATGAGTATGCTTCATGAATTTCTTATTGTCGATAAATTTAGTCGTATACTCCTCAGAAATGACTAACACCTCGTTCTCACTATATCATGTTAGTGGTGGTGTTTTGAAGACTTTTTTATACTTACCATATTCGTGCGTGTTCAGAATCTTGCCAAAGCACACAAAGATTTCGAAGGTATTTCTGGACGCTATACTGCGTACCTCATCATTGGGGATGCAACCATACGAAATCCATTGAACTGGGCTTTCGTAAGTTATCATTCATTGTTTTCGCTCACTAATCCATACTTTTTCTCTCATTGCATCTCATTCTAGGCGGAATTAATGCTCACTATTCCACCTGCACCTGTCGAAGTTGTTCCAAAATCTCAGCGTATCAACTACGATGTGTTGCCGGAAATTAAGCATGTCTTCCGTCAGCCTGAAAAGAGGCCGCCCACCATCGTCTCAGACACTTTCACTCTGATCTGTTTGGCTCCTTTGTTGCTCCTGCTAGTACTGGTCAGAATTTCTAGATTTGGGTTCCCGCATTGTTTGTACCAGACCTATAAAGTTTTTTTAGTGGTTCCGTATTGGACTCAATTTTGGCAATATGCCGCTTAGTTTGTGGACGCTTATTTTCCATGGAAGTCTTGCTGGTAGGTTACGTAGTTCCTGCGTTAAGAACACTTCATGTTGTGGTGTCACGTTTGACTTCACATTTTCTAGGTTGATATCTTTATTTTAGCGCTGTTCGCCTTGTACTTCGTTTTCTGGCTTCAGCTCAACATGTTTGAGACGTTGAAGTATTTAGCCGTGGTTGGTAGACTGAACATACTTGGCCGGTAACCGCGTCTTGAGGGCAATCGCCGATAAAAGGAAGTAGGTTTGAGACCATTCTAGGGTGTGTCATTTCACAATACAAACGTAAACTGAGCGGAAGGCATTTCCAGGAGCAAATCTGAGTGAGTTTACAACTGCCAAAGGAGATGCGAGCGCACAAAGAGGATTTAGCCTTATATCCATGCTGGTTTTCAAATCTAATCTGCAGAGACTATCATTATCTTGCAAACTTTTTCATTCTTTTTTTTTATCTCATAACATACCCCACCGACTCAATGTTAGTAAGGACCAACTTTATTTCCATGTCGTTTGCACTCCACAGTAATTAGATAGGAAGAGAGGCTCAGTCTCTCATGTTGAAGCCTATATTATTCCTGTGACAGCAACAGTTGATTTGTTATAATGATTGTAGTAGATTCATCCGTTTTGAACTTTTTCGGGATTTATCGCTTGATTTCTATTACGTGTGTTTTTAAAGTTACCCATGGCTTTTTATAGCAGTATATTTATTTGAATGTTGTTTTCTTGTTTTGTTGATATCATTCCCTACGGTCGATAAATTATTGTTGCTTTTGTGTCTTGAAGGTTAATAGTTATGCGTTGAGAGTTCGCGGTCATTTACTTCTGATCGACAAAATCGATTTCATACTCAAACTAATTGAACATTCAATTGAAGGATGTCCTTGACAAAAAACCTGAAAAGCCTGACTTCTGTTGGACCTCGTGCAGTCATCACTTGGGACAAGGTGAGATACGTTATGTGTAATTTTTCCATTGTAGGCGTTACTTTTGTGGCACACGAAACTGAGAAATCGTTAGCGCGAGACAGTTGTCGGGCCCAGGCTTGAAATGTGAGACAAAGACGTGAAAAGGCCTTTCGTAGATGCTGTGGGAAAATATGCACTCGCCATGTGGGCCTTCCAAACATCTAACAAACCATGACCAACAGTTTGTTTCGTTCTAGTAAAAAATTAGACAGACTAAGAGAAGGTGTGACATACTGAAGCATTTGTTGACATTAGGATTATCTCAAGCTGGTGGAAACACAGTGGCCATCGTCGTCCTTATATCAAACAGCTCTTTGATATAAATACTACGAATTTATGACATCTACCCCTAAAAAGGCGATCTACAACAAATGCTCAACGTAGCGAAAGCTTGACTTGTGTTGGCTTTGTTCCGTAACAAAATGCCACTGCATACGTGCCAGCTATGTGAGCTGGAGAGTTTTTCGTTTAGTGTTAGTTAGCTTTGTCTTTGTACTCACCACAAATCGTTTGTTCAGGCCGAGAGAATACGCCGTAATGAGGAGATCTGGGCTAATCCTGACTCCATAGTTCATCGTCTGCCGGAACACTACTGTAAGCGTTACTGGGATAATTTATTGCGCGATGCTACTCCTGTGCACTACCGGTATGTTGTTAACAATCTGCTGTGCGTGTTTGCTCACATTGTTCTTGGCTTGTGATTCTAAACTTCACTTTTTATTGTATGTCATCCTCACAAAGTGTGTGTTTCAAAGTGTCGAGGTCTTAGCAAAGGTTCACTAAATGGTTGGGTTAATTATGTAACGCAATTCTACACTGTTACACTTCCGGCTTCGTGCTTTTCCAGGCCACCTACTTCTCGCCTGTACTGGGATCCTGTACGAAAGGTGGAAGTGGAGGCGGAAAACTTCCCTTTGCTAGGTTAGCTAGTTAATTTCGTTAATTTCTAATAGTATTTGCTATCGAGTAAAGCAGTACTCAATCGCTTGTTTCCAAGTGCACCAATTATATTTAGTTATTTATCCACCTGAAGCCGATCAGGGATTATGGGGAGGTGAAGGTGTTGTGAAAGGATGGAGGGAGTCACGTCCATACACCAAAAAGAAGGTTCTGCCTAGGTGAATGTTTCGTTTTTGTTTTTGTTCGTTTTGTTTATCGCAGTGTGCAACTTTCAACTTGTCCTTCAGACATTGGATACCTCGGCTTTATTTCCCTGCTCTCAAGAGACAAATCCTTTATTCGGAAATTCTCAATAAACATATGGAGGTGAGTTGATCTATGTTCGAAATTGATGATAGGGAATTGCTAAGACGCAACTTTGTTTACTGCTTGCCTCAAAATTTTGTCCATTGTATAAGCGAACCAAAATCTAGATTCAGGCTTGAGTAGTTTGTACGTCAGTGACGCTCAATTTAGTGCGTACGTCATTGACGATCAATCTAGGGCACAGTCAAGATATTTGAGAAAATGGCCACGGGGATCATGTGCACTGAGCGAAAACATACTCCCGTAATTTTGAATTTCTCTTCAACGGATTAGAAATAAATATTTCACGAGACAGCTTCATAACATACATAGACAGCTTCATGCTTCAGCCATAAAAACCCCTAAACGTACTCATATTTGTACTGCACGGATGTTGATCAGCAACCTTTTTATCTGTAGAGGTGCGCTGAGGAGCAATCGTCTAGCAGTTCAAGATGGGTAACCATATTTCTGAAGGTTGAGCGGTTCCTCGAAAATTTCTTGGTGGAAGAGCAACGATGTGTTGTCCTTTGCCATCGAAAAAATTATTTTATTCTGCTTTAGGTAACTGTTACGGAGCGAACTCTTCGTCTGATCGAACAGAACTTTGGCCTTGATTACTACATACTGCGCACTGCAGAGATTGATCTCGCTTCGAAGTTAGGGAACAGGCTGGTATCCGAAATGCCATTGTTTATCGTGTCATTGAAAGCGTATTAATGGTTGCAGGTTAAAACGAGAAATGCTGCTAACTCTTGCGAAAGAAACCTATTATCCAGAGGATGAAGAACGTCACAATTACATCAAAGAAAAGTTTGTTTCATTACAGAAATGTTCCGAAGTGATATCTAATCGTCCTGTGTAGGTACGCGGAATTCGTGATTCCTGTCGAAGAAGCAGACTGGGTGGGATTGGACCTGAACGAAGCAGCCCGCAAACAACAGGAAATTGAAGAGCAGCGTGTCCCTGAGCCTATGAAATTCAAGTGAGCTACTACGGTCACGTTTTTTTTTCTGGAAATCAATTCTGTGGTCTTTGTTGAATCAAGTTGGGGAAGAGTTCTCAGAACGCATTTGCTTTCTGTCTTTCCTTTTTGAATCTGAACAAAAAAGACGGTAATCGGTGCATTTATTCGTGGTCTTGGAGAGGAGGATTTTTTCCGGATGCCGGGCGTTATAGCGATGTGTCAGATATGCTACTAGGTGCTTGAGCTTACATTCTTTGATAGAGCAAAGTTTTTTCTTCTTACTTGTGTCTGCAATACCATGTTCTACTTCTTATAATATCTAGAAAATTCAATAAGAGCAGTATCCATTAGAAGCCTTTGT